AGATAGGGTCTAGCTCTGTCACCCAGCCATTATTTTTTGTTTTTTAAAGACAGGGTCTCACTCTGTTGCTCAGGCTGGAGGGCAGTGGTGTCATTATACTTCATTGCAGCCTTGAAGTCAAGGCTCAAATGATGCTCCTGCCTCAGCCTCCCAAGCAAGTGGGAATATATAGTATACACCACCATGCCAGGCTCTGTAATTTTTGAAAAAAAAATTTAATGGTGGTAAAATACTAATATATATATGACATGAAATTTACCAGCCTAACCATATTTATTTATTTTTGAGATACACTCTCACTTTGTTGCCCTCGGTAGAGTGCCATGGCATCATAGCCCCCAGAAACCTCAAACTCGTGGGCTCAAGCGATTTTCTTGCCTCAACCTCCCAAGTAGCTGAGACTACAGGTGCCTGTTACAACGCCCAGCTATTTTTTTAGAGATGGGGTCTTGCTCTTGCTCAGGCTAGTCTATTATGAATAACACTTATATAAACACAGGTGAAGAAATACCTCTTCAAGAGTCTGCTTTCACTTTTCATGGGTATATACGCAGAAGTGGATTTGCTGGATCATATGGTAATTTGGTAATTCTAAATTTTGATTTCTTGAGGAACAGCCATACCGTTTTCCGCAGGGGCTGCACCATTTTATCTTCCCACCAACAGTGCACAAGCCTCCCATTTCTCCGTATCCCTGCCAACACTTGTTCTTTTTCTTGGTTTTTGGTTTTTTAATAGTAGCCATCTGAATGAGTGGTCACGTGGTCTGCATTTTAAGTCATACTGTCTCTCCTAATGGGGCTTTCCAAATTTAGTGATGAATCACCTTGCTGTTTTCCCCAGATGTGGTAGTTAATAGGAATTACAGTTCTGCATGGATGATGTTGTTTGCCTGGTAGAATCCAGTGAGTCTGCGTGGTGCCTGTGGCTCAAACGAGTAGGGCACCAGCCCCATATACCGGAGGTGGCGTATTCAAACCCAGCCCCTGGCCAAAAAAAAAAAAAGAAAAGCCAATGAGTCTGAACCCTTAGTGGGGGGGCACTATTGGCAGGAGTGGGCAGGGTTTGAGGGCTCAGGTGAATACCTGGAGGACAGGTATTGTCCCCAAAGGTAAAAGTACAGAGGGAAAGGAAGGGAGAGAGCAGGACCCAACTCAGGAGACTTCTTGGGGTTATCTGAGATCCATGGTATTCCAAAATGAGGGTGACTGAGGTTGAACCTTCCTTGGTGGGGACCAAAGAGGAGTGGGGGGACCTCTGTCATCTCCTGTCTCCCTTGCATTAAAGAAACTGAGCTGAGACTCAGCTCCCTCCTCTGGAAAATGGAGAGAATGGGGGTGTGGCTCAGTTTGCCAGTTCCCAAAGCATGCCTCAGACCTGCCTCTATGGCATGGTCTCTGGCATAACCCAGATAGTTGCCCCTCCCCCACCCCGGCCACCAATGGATGTGCCCACATTCCAAGGTAGACCAGTGTGGGCCAGAACTCCTCAGTTTTGGCTGCCTATTGGTAGAACCTTCTAGGAAGCTCTGGCCTCTCCCAGCAGGACAGAAAGGGGACCCTTAACTCTGTTTTAACTAAGCCACAGGTCCCAAGAGTTTCAGCAGCCAAGAGAGACCAGAATCCCTCATGGCAACGTCAGAGACTGCTGAACCTGAGTGGCCAGGCCCCAGGGAACAGCAGCGTAGGCCCCTTCACTGCAGCCTCCAGTTTCCACATGTCACAGGCCCATCTGAAAATGTCCAGCCTGCAATTTTCCCAGGCGATGCCCAGGAGGCCTGTGGCCCCCATGAGCTCCGGAACTGTGATGGGGTCTTTGCTGCCCCCAGTGAGTGTGCAGCAGAGGACCAGTGCTCCTGCCTCAGCACCTCCCCAGACAGCCCTGCAGCAGGGCCTGCCCAGCCTGAGGTCAGGGGCACCTGAGCTGGGGCCTTCAGCCAGAGTTCAACCTTGTAGATGGGTGGCCCATGTTGAGCGTGGGCCAGGAACTCTCCTTTGTCTACAGTGGCAGCCAGGCAGCATTGTGCCATCCAGTGTGTCCGGGCACACTGACCTGATTGGCTCCCTGCTGATGAACAGGATTTTAGAGTGGTGGATGGATGATTTGGATGACCTTTTAGGGTCTCAGCGGTGGAGGGATCTATGGTGGTTTTAGTATTCATATATTCTGTATCTTGCTCTTGGATTTAAGAAAAAGCAACTACTTTGGATCGAAAGCTTATGGCCCATGGTGCTGGGGAGGCAGAGCCTGAGCCCTGGCTGGGGCCTGGCCTGATCAGGGTCTGTGGGCATGTGGCTTCCAGGCCAGGAGTTGTGGTCCATTGGGCTGGCCTCAGCCCATCTGCTGGTATCATCGCCTGGCACTGGGATAGCAGGATAGGATTCTGAAGGTGATATTCCATGCAAATGACCAAAAAAAAACCAGTAACAACAGTGAAACCCCACAGTGTCAGGCTTATAAAAACCTATGCTGTCATCTTGACTTTATCCACAATTTTTCCACTTGCCCCAGTATTGGGGACAAGTTTTCATTAAAACTTCATATAGCAGAATTATTTGTAATTTGTAGCATAGAAAAAAATCAAATTTTTAAAAGAGTTTTAAAGCAGATTAGGATAGGTGGTGGTTTCAGTTGATCAAGCGGCATTGGAAACCCCGGGGTTTCCTTTTGATTAAGAGGCTTTTCGTTTCTGCTCTTTGTCTGCTTTCAAGGCAGAAGGAGGGAGATTGGAAAATCATTTTCATAAATACAGGCTGTGACTACATATCAAAAAAAGGAATAGGATGCCTTGGGATAGCAGATCTGGTGACACAGATAGGGTTGTCCTAGCAGCTCCTCCTTTCTGGGCCATCAGGAATCTCTTGCTGTCATGCTCTGGCAACAGAAGCCCATGTAAATGCTGCAGGTGGAAATTTGTTCCTGTGTCCTCTGCCACGCCATTCCACCTTCTAAAATTCCTCTGAACACTCCCTGAATGCAGCGGGAGCGTGGTTACTGTGTGGTTGTGCATAGATGTCTTTCATTTACCTGTCTTCGTTCCTATGAGCTTTCTTTCTGCCTCCTCTTCTTCCTCTCTCCAGCCAAAGTGAAAAACAATAATTCACGACATTGCAGGGTGGGTGGGGGAGGAAAGAGTCACTAGACTCCCTGGGAGAATGAGAGAACCATTGCAGAGGTTTTGGGGAAGGAGGCTGCAGGCTGGCCCAGAGGAAGGAGCTTCACTTTTCTTGATGACTTTTGCCTCCCGAGTTGGACGACTTGCACTTTTTAAAGACATTGCTTTATAACACTAAAATCGCCTTTCTGAAGATTCAGGTGGGCTGACTAAACTTGAGAGTCCACAAGATAGAATTTGGCATGTGGGCTCTTTGTGAAAAAGGAAGGTGGAGAGGGCAGTTCCCCATAGTGGAGCACAGTGGTGAGCGCAGGGCGGTGGAGAGGGGAGTGCACTGAAGAGTGGCTTCTACCCAGAGTAGTCTGTGAGAATCCACACCCCCATTTTTATTTTCCTGGATTCTCAAAATGGATCATTCAAGGAGCATAATATGTGAAGAACTGAGCCAAGAAAAGTATTCACACGACCGGCCCAAGTCACATTGGTGATTATTTTGCACCAGCCATGTCTTTCTCACTGAGGGTCCTTAGACCCTCAGATTTTCTTTTCTAATAGCTGTGTGCCACCTTGGGTGGTGTATGGGCCATATCCCCTTAAAAGACCCTCCGCGCCTTCCCCATATGTTTAGTCTAGCTCTCACGGAAGGAGACGAATCATAAAGTGAAGACTCCACCCTCTGAGTGAGTTCCCTAATCTGAAGGGGAAGAGGGTGACTTTAGGAGTTTTCTGCCAAAAATACGGCTGACAGCTGTTTGTGGATCCTTTTCCTCTCTTGTGTCCCTCCGACTGCTGCCTGCCTTCTGCCTCTGTCCCCCAGGCATGGGGCACTCACAGGCCCCTGAACCTGTGAGTCCGGGGCTGGCCACACTTCCTGGGGCTCCTCACTTGCTGCAATGTCATAGCAATAAAATATGATTCTTGGGGTCCCCCAGGAACTGTCCCTGGCTTTATTTATAAATCTAGCTTTGGGATGAGAGGACTGCTTCTGTGCACAGCTTCTTCTTCCAGGAGCCACGACTCAGAAGAAAAGGGTGCTTGGACTTATATTATACACATTCGCTTTGTGTAAATGAATATTTACAATTTTATATTAAAGATGGAATAGGCATTAGAGCTTCCAACTCTATATTTTTTACTTTTATAGATTTTAAAACTATGATCATTTATGTATGTGTTTCTGGGGAGCTATGATAAGTTTTATGGCAAACAAACAGTTGGTATTGTTAACTTTTTATTGTCATCAAAAGTGCACAGAAATCCTGTAATCCCTTTATTCTTCTATTGCCCTTAACTTCAGGATACATCAAAATCTTTCTGGCCAGGTGCCGTGGCTCATGCCTTTAATCTTAGCACTCTGGGAGGCTGAGGTGGGTGGATTGCCTGAGGTCACCGGTTGGAGACCAGTCTGAGCCAGAGTGAGACCTTGTCTCTAAAAATAGCCAGATGTTGTGGCCAGTGCCTGTAGTCCCAGCTACTCAGAGTCTGAGTCAAGAGAATCGCTTGAGACCAAGAGTTTGAGGTTGCTGTGAACCATGACATCATAGCACTCTACCAAGGGTGACAAAGTGAGACTGTCTCAAAAAAACAAACAAAAAACCTCCCCCCCCACAACAACAACAAAACCCAACAAAACCCCAAAATTCAAAAACTTTCCTTGCCCTATTGTTATAAAAATAATAAAAGTATTTTGCTAGTATGGAAAAAACATACACAAAAAAAGAAAATGGAGAGAATGATAGAACTTACCTTGGAGGACTTGTGTGTGATTCCATGGTGTGAGGCTGGGGTAGCTCTGGGCATGATGTGCTGCAGAGTATACATTTCTGGTGGCACTCATATTATTGTCGCCTACCCACTTTGTTTTTGTTCCGTCAGGGCCTGACCCTCAGGCAAGGATTCGAATGCAAGAAATTTATTTGGGAAGTGATCACAGAAAATACCAGTAAGGAAGAAGAAACTGAAACACAAGGAATTGAAAACAGGTACTCAAACAACCGAACGTACACACATGTCCAGATTAGTGTATTTCATAATAACCAGAAGATGGAAATAGCCTAAATCAGCAGGCAAAAGGGTAAACACAATGGGATAGATCCATACAATGAAATATTATTCAGCAATAGAAGAGGTGAAGGACTGAAATTTGATACTTTTGTTCTCAAGGTGAACCTTGAGAACGTTATGTTTAGGCCAGGCGCAGTGGCTCACACCTGCAATCCTGGCACTTTGGGAGGCTGAGGTGGGAGGATCGTTTGAAGGCAGGAATTTGAGATCATCTTGGGTAACATAGTGAGATACCATCTCTCCAAAACAATAAGAAAAACTAACTGGGCACGGTGATGCTCGCCTGTAGTCCCAGCTACAAAGGCTGAAGCAGGAGTGTCTCTTGAGCCCAGGAGTTCAAGGCTGCAGTGAACTATGTGATTGCACCACTGCACTCCAGCCTGCACCACAAAACACAAAAAACAAAATCCCTCAAAACCAAACAAACACAAACCACGATGCTAAGTGAAAGAAGCCAGACATAGAAAACCACATAGAATACAACTGACTTACACAAAATGTCAAAATAGTTAAATCCATAAAGACAGAAAGTGGATTAGTGGTGGTGAGGGCCTGTGGGGAGGGGAGTAGGGGGAGTGGCTGTTAATGGAGATGGGTTTTTTTGTTGGGGTGATGAAAATGTTCTGAAACTAGGTAGAGGTGGTGGTTGCACAACACTATGAATGTCCTAAATTCCACTGAATTATTCCATTAAAAATGGTTAATTGGCTTGGCACCTGTGGCTCAAGCGGCTAAGGTGCCAGCCACATACACCGAAGGTGGCGGGTTCGAATCCTCAGCCCCGGCCCACCAAACAACAGTGACAGCTGCAACCAAAAAATGGCCAGGTGTTGTGGTGGGTGCCTGTGGTCCCAGCTACTTGGGAGGCTGAGGCAGGAGACTCGCTTGAGCCCAGGAGTTGGAGGTTGCTGTGAGCTGTGATGCCATGGCACTCTACCCAGGGGGATAGCTTGAGGCTCTGTCTCAAAAAAGAAAAAAAAAATGGTTAATTTTGTGTTATGTGGATCTCACTTCAATTGAAAAAATCAAAACAAGAAGAAACAGAGTGAAGGGAGGCAGCTAATAGAGAAAGTTTCTGCTGTAGGTTACTGGAGTTTAACTCTACTGGGGAAGCTCAGAGGGAGTGTGGAACTTACCCCATCCAGACCGAGGGAAGAGGGAGTTGGGGTATTCACCCACCAATGCTCACCAGTCATCGGTTGTCACTCCTTTGGGTGGTGGTGTGTATGTGTGTGTCTTAGTTTCTGAGGACTCCACCCAGCTATATGCATGGACAACCTTATGGTAGCGATGTTAAGAGGTATGCCCCGCAAAAGTCATGGCCGAGGGCGTAGAGATGGGGCGTCAGGTATGTCTGTCCAGCTGGCTGGCTGGAGGTCATGCCTGGTGGATGAAGAGGTATCACTGGTGTCTGGGCTGCACCTGCTGTGTGTCACATACACCCCACAGGTCGTTGTGTGTGTGGCACACATATATATGGCTGGAGAGTGGTCCCCACCAGCACTGACCTGACCCCTCCCCACCCTCTGTGTTCCCCCAGGATGCTACCCCTCACCGACCACCTGCTACACTTGCTGAGGCTGGAGAAGACGACATTCCGCATATACACTGTGTCTGCCCTGCTCCTCTTCCTGCTCTTCTTTTTCTTCCGCCTGCTGCTGCAGTTCCTGAGGCTCTGCTGGAGCTTCTACATCACCTGCCGCCGGCTGCGCTGCTTCCCTCAGCCACCCCGGCGCAACTGGCTGCTGGGTCACCTGGGCATGGTGAGTGTGGCTGGGCAGGGTTGGGGTGAGGCGGGTGCAAGGTATTCAGTAAGGATGGGGGGCTGCTGGCCTCCCACATCTCCCAAGAGTCTTGTTGGGGCTGTGAACAGATTTATTTTAGGGATATGACACTGAAGCTTAGAGAGGGCGAGCATTTACCCCAAGGTCACACAGCTGGGATGAGGCAGAACTGATTTTATTTTATTATTTTTTGAAGCAGCTAAATTTTTATTTAAGGGTCTCTGATTAGGACTTTTAATCTAGTCCAGTCAAATTATTTTTGATAAAATCAAAGTGAAGAAAAAACATTTCAGCCTGGGGTCATCCCATCCAAGAAAAGGAAGATGGAGAAAACAACTTGTAAAAAACAAGACTACATAAGCAAATTATACTCATAAAAGCCAATACTTAGTAACAGAAATATATAATATATACAGTATAAAAATAACTCTTATCATTTTTATAACACGTTATCATTTCCCAGCCACTACACTTGATGCTTTATAATTGTGATTTCCAATTCTAAAAACCATTTTTAGGTAGATGGACAAAGCTGTTAATTGTTTTTAAAACAGAAAAAGAAAATAAAGCTTATTAAAACTCAAATGACTCGGGTGGCACCTGTGGCTCAGTGAGTAGGGCGCCGGCCCCATATAGTGAGGGTGGCAGTTTGAACCTGGCCCTGGCCAAACTGCAACAAAAAAATAGACAGTTGCGGCAGGCACCTGTAGTCCCAGCTACTTGAGAGGCTGAGGCAAGAGAATCACCTAAGCCCAGGAGTTGGAGATTGCTGTGAGCTATCACTCCATGGCATTCTACTGAGGTCAATAAAGTAAGACTCTGTCTCTAAAAACAAACAAACAAAGAAAAAAAGCTCAATGACTCATCCAAGCCCATACCCTGGTAAGGTGGCAGAACTGGGGTCTGAACCCATTTTTCTTCCACACCTCATAGCATTTAATGTACAGAACACCTGGATGAGCCAGGCACGGTGGCTCATGCCTGTAATCCTTGCACTCTGGGAGCCGAGGAGGAAAGATCCCTTGAGCTCAGGAGTTAGAGACCAACCTGAACAAAAGCCAGACCCATCTCTACTAAAAATAGAAAAAATAGGCATTGTAGTGGGGGCCTGTAGTCCCAGCTACTTGGAAGGTTGAGGCAAGGGGATCACTTAATCCCAAGGCGACTGAGTCTCTGCCTTAAAAAAAAGGGTGGGGAGAAATGAATTGGCCAGGCCTGGTGGCTCATGCCTGTAATTTCAGCACTTGGAAAGCCGAGACAGGTGGATTGCTTCAGCTCTGGAGTTCGAAACCAACCTGGTAAGAGTGAAACCCTCATCTCTTTAAAAAAAAAAAAAAATAGCTGGGTGTTGTGGCAGGCACCTACCTGTAGTCCCAGGTACTTAGGAGGCTGAGGCAAGAGAATTGTTTAAGCCCAAAAGTTTGAGGTTGCTGTGAGCCTTGATGCCACTGTACTCTACCGAGGGTGACATAATAAGACTGTCTCAAAAAAAAAAAAAAAAGCTGGATGAATTGCTTAGTATTTTAAAAAAATTTCTATTTGTAAAATCCCAAATATTTTCTACTAGTCAGATATGGCAATATCTACCTTTTATGATATTAATAAATAACATAGAAAATCTGTTGTGTTCTTATCAGAAGTTCAGAAAACAAAGTGTTATCACAGATAACAATAATAATTATTTTTGTCCTCAGTTCAAAAGATTTAGAATCTGTGACTCAGAACAAGAAGCCCACTAATTCATACATATATATATATTAAACAGAGTATACTAGTCACAAACACAAGATCTGAAACCCCATTTTGAGCCATTTCTGTATAACAATCTAGCTTGCCTTTGTCAGTGATAGAATATTAACCTAAGAAGTCCGTGAAGATGTCACAGTGTTGACAAAATTCAACACAAACACAGGAAACAAAGCTTGGCACTTCCACACAGCCGGGCTGTAAGGTCCTTGCAATGACTTCTTTTTAAGGTAACGTCTCTTCATGTCGCACATACTCCCCAATGTCTGCTTGATGAAATACCACAATCGCATCGCGTCTACTTTCCTACAGTCTTGTGTTGATTTTGCTGCCGCCCCCAGACCCAAAGGGATGTCTGCCATGGAGTACACCACCATTCCCTGGTACTGAGAAGTATTTTCAGTGATTCGACCCAGACCAGATTTCAGCACATGGTTCCCATACAGGACAGATTCTTCTGCTCCAGGCTTTAGCCACACTTTGTACTTGGCATAGGGTGCAAGGTAATCCAGAGCCGTGACGTGCAACCGAAACCTGTGGGTCTTAGTGAATTTTCCAAAGCAGGTCCCCAGAGACACCAGCTTCTCTCCGGAGATATTGGCGGCCAGTTTCAGAATCTTCTCGCTTACGTAGTACACCCGGTCGTTGTGCAGCCGGAAACAGTAGTAGCCGTTGGGTCTGTCCACCAGCAGCTGAAGATTCTCCCTGATGTATTTCGCGATCTTCTCAAACATCACACGGGTTTCCTCTTCAGTCAAAGGCCGCATTTTCCTGCTGGGTTAGGGCACCGGATTCCAGAACTGGTTTTAAAGAGGGGTTCTCTTTATAGTTTTATAGCTGTAGTTACAGCAACAAGTACTTTCACCGACGGAATGTAGACTCCTGGGGCAGGGAGAAGAGGGGCATTCCTGTAGAGTTGTTACTCTAGTCCTACCGACAATGTCTTGCCATTCTCTCTCCCTTGAATGCTGTAGTCCCAAGTCAAGACTCTCACCTCTTCCTTGCATTTTAATTTTTATTTTATGCATACATGCCAAGTATTTTTTCAGACCAAGATTAACTCATTTAGTCCTCTCGACAATCCTAGGAAGTCCCATGACTATCCCCATTTTGCACCGGAAATTACCGGAAGTTAAGTAGCTGGCTCTAAGTCACACAGCCTGTAGTGGCAGAGCCAGGGTTCAAACACAGGCTGTTTGGCTCTAGCATCCCTGCTCTTAGTTCTACCCTCTGTGGCCTCTAGTTTCTAGATGAGACAGCCTGGACTTTTATAAAAGGACTTCAGAGATCAGAAGAGAGAAATCCAGACCCCTAAGGGTGGTGAGCCTCTGGTGGGGCCCCAGGATCCAGGCCCTCCTTGTCTGCTGGGCTCACCTGCCTGCCTTCTGGGCTTCAAAGAAATTGAAGGGCAGTTGCTGGTCATCTTCTTGGACTAGGCTTCATCCCAAGCTTAGAGGTGCACATTGGAGAGGCAGATTTGGGTAGTGGTGGACTTTGGAGTCCTGGGTTCAAGGCCCACCTCTACCATGTCCTGACTGTGTGATCAAGGTACTTAATGGCCTTATGCCTCAGTTTCCCCATCTGCAATATGAAGACTGTACTAATTCTTTTTTTTTTTTTTTTGAGACAGTGTCTTGCTCTGTTGCCTAGACTAGAGTGCAGTTCTGTCACTATAGCTCATTGCAACCTCAGACTCCTGGGTTCCAGTGATCCTCCTGCCTCAGCCTCCCAAGTAGCTGGGACTATGGGTGCCTGCCACACAACTAGCTAACTTTTCTATCAAGTAGCCCGGACTATGGGTGCCTGCCACACAACTAGCTAACTTTTCTATTTTAGTAGAGATGGGGTCTTGCTCTTCTTGCTTAGGCTGGTCTCGAATTTCTGAACTCAAGCCATCCTCCTGCCTTGGCCTTCCAGAGTGCTAGGATTAAAAGCATGGCCACTTCACCTGGCCTGAGACTACACTAATTCTTAACAATCTGATGGGATTTTTGAGGGGTGGATTCCTTGGAGTTGTAATCATGATGTGCTTGGCACTGGCCTGGTACACAACAGGGGCAGAGTGGTGGATGTGTGCTCAACTACTTGCTTTGTCCTGCCCAGACTGGGAATATCAAGTGAGTCTAGAAATATTTTAGGTAGTGCTTGAACTGAGTGTCTCTGAAGAAAGAACGAGGTGACACATTTCCACTTAATAGCTTAAAGAACATTGTATTTAGTTTTTGGAATTATCTCAAAGTGAAGAGCCTAGGAGGAAGAGAGTTTCCCAGCCCTTCCTACCTCTGGGGACATGACTCACCAAGTTTTACCTGTTTGTGCCTGAATCTCCTCTCTTTCCCAACCCTTGCTCTGGCCTTATCCTCTCCTGCTGAGACATGGTCCAGCTGCCTTCTGTCTCACTCCCCCAGTCTACTCCCCATATTGGCTGCAGAGGGATTCTTGAATCCAGCCAAGTCTCTCCTCTGTTCACACACCATCCACGGCTCCCTACTGCCATTCAGGAAAAGACTGGTGTTCAAAGCCATTCAAATAGCATCCCCTATTAGTCCTAAGAAATGACTTCCTGCTTCTATAACGAGGCCTTCCCACCTGCTTGGCTTTTGCCAAAACTGTGCCCTCTGTCCAGAATGTCCTTCTCTGCTAGGTAAGCTTCTATTCATTTATCATGCTGCATCTCCAATGCCCTTACTCTTGGAAGCTCTCTCTGAACTTGATAGTTGTCTTAGAGGCTGTTGGCCCAAGCCTAGCTCTGAAGCCCAGCCTAGACATTATGGGTCCAGACAACATTCTGGGCCCATGGGGGCTGGGTGAAGACACAATTTCCTTTAGGTGTGGACAGGCTCAAGGGTGAGCTTCACAGAAAAGGAGACAGAGAACTTAGAGAGGGGTCATTTGTTCATTCATTGCTTTAACAATTGCTGGGTCATGTTACTGGCCAGACACTGGGGTAGGCTTCTTTGTGTCAAAGCTCTCCCCTGATTCTCATGATCAGTGAAATCAGGATAAATTGTTCTTGTGTGGATTCAGGCTCAGAGAGGTTAAGTGACTTGCCCAACATCACATATCTGCTGAAGGTGGGTTTGAACTCAGATCCACCTGACACTGAGTCTGAAAATTTTCTGCCTCATAGGGCAGGTTGATTAAGAGTAGTATCGTAGCTGAGTGGCCTGTGTTCAGATGCTGGCTTTGCCACTGTGATAAATGATGGCAGCCCCTACCCCACGTATTCTAAACCCATTTCTTGATGCAATGGCTTGAATTCTGCTGCCATACTGGGGCTTACTTTGGTTGCTGAAGTCCACTTTGCCTATGTGTACTGTGAACTTGGGAATTAATGCCCCCCCAGGAGCAGCCCTCAAATAATTACTAATGGATGTTGATGGGTAAGCACCCCAACTCCCTTATTCTGGGGTGGGATGACTGTGAAGTACACTGCTCTACATCATCCTCCCAAACTCCTAAACTCTAGACAAATAACTTCCTATCTGAACGTGTTTGACTCTGATTTCCAAGTGGATGGACATTCCCTCAAGGTTCATGGGACTCTTAGTCATTGTCAGATCTTTGTCCATGCTATTCCCATAATCTGGATTTCCATTCCTATGAACTTTTATTTATCCTTCAAAGCCCTATTTAAATAACCCTACCTCTGGATAGCCCACCTGCCTGGAATCCCAGATGGGCTCCGAGAGTCAAGGGCTCACCCAGTGCTGGTGAGGGACTAAGTTCCAGTTGCCTGTTATGTTAACTTCCTTGACAACCCACACTTTACAGATTTCCTTCCCTCCGTGTCTCTCTGTCCCATGACACTGACTATGTTTTTGTTTTTCCTGATCACTTCCTAATAAACTACTTACCCTAGAACCATTGTTTTAGGACTTGTTCCTGGGAGAGTCCAAACCAGGACATTCACTTACTCATTTGTAACTTCAGACAAACCATTTGACCTTCTTGCTTGAGAAAAGTAAAATGGGAAAAATAATAGCAATACCCTCACAGGGTTCTTGTGCAGGTTGAATGTGTCAATATCTGAGAAGTTCCCACTATTGTGGACAAAATAATACAAGCACGTGTGTGTTAAAGGTAACAATAGTAGTAATATTACTTACATAACGAGCACTTGATAAATGCCAACTACTATCATTATTGTGTTTGCCCTTCCTTCCTTCCTTCTTCCTTCTTTTATTTTCCTTTTTTGAGATAGGATTTTGCTCTGTCGCCCAGGCTGGAGTGCAGGGGTGTGATCCCTGTAGCCTTGAACTCCTAGACTCAAGTGATCCTCTCACCTCAGGCTTCTAAGTGGCTGGAACTACAGGTTCCAGGAACTGCATCACTACACTTGGCCAAGATTTTTATTTTACTTTTTTATAGATGGAGTCTTGCTATGTTCCGAGACTTGCCTTGAACTTCTGGCCTCAAGTGATCCTCCCATCTTAGCATACACAGTAGTTGGGACTATAGGTGTGCACTGCCATGCCCAGCTTCTTTTTAATTTTTTTTAGATATAGGATCTTGCTATGTTGCCACTGTACCCAGCACCTATTTTTATTTTATAAACACCAGTCATGTGTCAGGTCCTTGTGGGGGGTCTTCCTTTCTTATTTCACGAATCCTCTCAACTACCCTAAGAGGGAGAGATGGGGGAAGCTGAGGCTGAGCACCTCCTCACTGTCTCTCTTTTACCTCTTACAGTACCTTCCCAATGAGACAGGCCTTCAAGATGAGAAGAAAGTGCTGGACAACATGCACCATGTGGTTTTGGTGTGGATGGGGCCCATCTTGCCACTGTTGGTTCTAGTCCACCCTGATTACATTAAGCCTGTGGTAGGCGCCTCAGGTAGGTGGGCTGGGCTTCTGAGCAATGGGTGAGTCTTCAACTCTCAGAGCCCACTTGGGATTGTAGGCAGGTAGGCTATCCAATGGAAGGGTCATTTGAACAGGGCTTTGAAGGATGAATAGGAGTTCATAGGAATGATAGTCTAGATGGTGGGAGCAGCATGGACAAAGATATCACAATGACTAAGAGTCTTCAAAACTCTAAAGGATTGCACTCCTACCTGGAAGTCAGAGCCAGGCATGTTCAGATAGGCAATTACTTACCTAAGGTTTTGTTAAGTAGGTGTTGCTTAATTCCATGCCATGGCACTCCCATCACTTGGGTTCTGACACTCCCACCATGGCCAGCCTGAGGCCTGCTTTCATCACCTGGGTTGGCCCTGATTGTTAGGGAGGGAGAAGTGGAAGGATTGCTCTTCCCTTCTGCAGTCTATATCCCTCCCAAAGTGTGGGTTTCCCAATTGTGGCAAGCTCTTGCTCGGCCTTCAACACTCACTCCAATGGCCTCTTTCCCTAGAAATCCTTCCCTGACTCCCCAAACAGACTATAGTTCTGTCCTCTGGACTTTCCTGTTCTCAGTCCTAACCCGTTGGGGCTGAGTTTGTCTGTGTCCAGCTTTATTTTCCTAATAAGTGTGGCTCTAGATCTACAGCCTGGACCTGCGTATATCTGGGCTTCTCCAGAGGCACTGGGGTACATCTGAGAGAGAAAGGATGGAAAGAGAAGAGTTCCCGGAACTTTAGAATTTCTGGCCCCATCTTGGGCCTCTACAAATGCACATCTAGAGACAGTTTCCAAGGCTGCCGCCTGGGAGCTGTGAAAAAGGACAGGAATGTTATCCTTCCCTTGCCCATAACTCTTTTCCCCCTGTTATTGCATTTGTGAAAAGATGACAATTCCCACCAAGCTAAGGCGAAAACCCAGACCCTGGGAGAAGTGGTTCTTCCAAGGGATGGAAAGAGCCCTGGACCAGGACTCAGGTGGACAGTTTGAATTCTAGCTTATACACATTTGTTTAGCTTCTCAGGGCCTCTGAACTGCAAACTAGGGCAATTGTGAGGACTCAATAATATCATGTGGCTAGGTACTAGTAAGAGTTTCCCC